CACTGTTTTGAATGTATTTTGTACGATTCGTGGTTACTGTTTTACACACTGTTTTGTATGTTTTCTTTCTTATTATTTGGTACGTTAGTTCCTTGCTCACGTTTTTGAATGTGTTCTGTAAGATTTGTAGTCACGTTAGTGTATTGCGCACCGTTTTGAATGTGTTCTGTATTATTCTTTGGTGCGTTAGTGCCTCGCGCACTGTTTTGGAAGTGTTCTGTACGACCTTTTGTTAGGGTAGTGTTTTGCGCACCGTTTTGAATAAGTTGTGTTCGGTTATTTTTCACGTTAGCTTCTTGCACACTGTTTTGAATGTGTTCTGTTTGATTGTATGTCACGCCAGTTGCTTGCGCACTGTTTTGTATGTGTTTTTATCATTCTTTGGTACGTTAGTGCCTTGCGTCCTCTTTTGAATGTGTTCTGGAAGACTTACTTACGTTAGTAATTTGCGCACCGTTTTCAATGTGTGCTGTGTGATTGTTTGGTACTTTAGTGCCTCGCGCACTGTTTTGAATGTGTTCTGTACGATTTGTGGTCACGTTATATTGTTGCGCACTGTTTGGTATGTGTCCTGTTTGATTATTTGATACGTTAGTTCCTTGCGCACGTTTTTGAATGTGTTCTGTAAGATTTGTAGTCACGTTAGTGTATTGTGCACTGTTTTTAATGTGTTTTTTAAGATTTCTAGTTACGTTAGTGCTTTCCGCACTGTTTTGTATGTGTTCTGTTTGATTGTTTGGTACTTAAGTGCCTTGCGCACTGTTTTGAATGTGTTCTGTACGATTTGTGGTCACATTACTTTTTCCCCCCCTCTTTTGTTTTTGTTTTTGTGATTATTTGGTACGATAGATCCTTGTGCACGTTTTTGAACGTGTTCTGTAAGATTTGTAGTCCCGTTAATGTATTGCGCACTGTTTTGAATCTGTTCCGCATAATTGTTTTGTACGTTAGTGCCTCGCGCACTGTTTTGAAAGTGTTCTTTACGATTTTTAGTTACGGTAGTGTTTTTCGCACTGTTTTGAATATGTTGTGTTTGGTTTTTTTCGCGTTAGCTCCTCTCACACTGTTTTGGATGTGTTCTGTTTGCTTGTATGTCACATCAGTTGCTTGCACACTGTTTTGTGTGTGTTCTGTATTATTCCTTGGTACGTTGGTGCC